GGCTTTGGAGACAAAACGGATGGCACTGTGATAGACTACATCCAATTTGCTGAGTAGAGTGTTGGAGGCTATTTTGTAAATGACATCGCCGAAGTCAAGGATCGGTAGGATAGTCAGTTTTACGAGGGCATGTTTGGCAGCATGAGTGAAGGAGGCTTTGTTGCGAAATAGGAAACCGATTCTAGATTTAACTTTGGATTGGAGATTCTTAATGTGAGTCTGGAAGGAGAGTTTACAGTCTAACCAGACACCTAGGTATTTGTAGTTGTCCACATACTCTAGGTCAGACCCGTCGAGAGTAGTGATTCTAGTCGGGTGGGCGGGTGCAAGCAGCGTTCGGTTGAAGAGCATGCATTTCGTTTTACTAGTGTTTAAGAGCAGTTGGAGGCTACTGAAGGAGTGTTGTATGGCATTGAAGCTCGTTTGGAGGTTTGTTAACACAGTGTCCAATGAAGGGCCAGATGTATACAAAATGGTGTCGTCTGCGTAGAGGAGGATCTGAGAGTCACCAGCAGCAAGAGCGACGTCATTGATATACACAGAGAAAAGAGTCGGCCCAAGAATTGAACCCTGTGGCACCCCCATAGAGACTGCCATAGGTCCAGACAACAGGCCCTCCGATTTGACACATTGTACTCTATCAGAGAAGTAGTTGGTGAACCAGGCGAGGCAGTCATTTGAGAAACCAAGGCCAATACTTTAACAGCATTTCAGAAAGGCTACCCTTTATTGATCTGTGGTGGGCCTCTACAGTCTAATGATACTGTAGATCTTTCCGAATGGAATTATCAAGATTAAATGATCAGTGTGAATCTAAATCAATAAGATAAAGAAATCCCACTGCTCTACTTCTCTTTCAAGGTGAATCAGTCACTTTCTTTTCTATTTGAAGACATCCACGTGGGGACCTCTGAAAAACATTCAGTCAGTGGTATTTGAGGAAGGCAAAGATAGGTGAGCACAGGCCCCTAGCTACTTCACAGCACAGTGATGCAGCCTGCAGCTTCGGAAGATTGGGACATGGCCGTTACATAACAGACTGGAGTTGGGCGTCCTACTCCTATCCCTGTTCCTCACAGTGAGTGCACTGAGTTTGTCTGTGTGTATGTAATATGTATGGAGGAGAGTGGGATGTGGTTGTGATCTCAGCTCGCTGTCATGCAAGGTGGAAATCACGTCATAATCACCGAGCCTAATCTGTGGAATTAGACATACAGTAGCCAGGCCTAATGGAGATTCAATCGCTGCTTGCTTACCATGTTGTGAAAAAATAGAATCAGGCCTAAGCATTTAGTTGTGTTGTTTGTTACAAATAAAACCACTGATCTAAAATGAATGTCTCAATCCACTTTGATGCATAGCTCAGACTAATAATATAAGTATTGTTAAACCTTGAATACACTACAGGTTTGCATTTCCTGCTGTGCAAGGAAATTCTCTGAAAAGAGTGATCAAATTAAGATCCTACATCTGTATAGTATGAAATATATTGTTTTCGTTTTTTTAATTAGGCCATCTGTGATTTTGTTTTTGGTCCAGGTCATCCTTCCTTTCCAAGGTAACAGCTTCTATGGTCCTGACAGCTGGCTATTGGCTAGAGCACAGCCAGCATCATCAACAACAACATTTCATGAAAGGATAGAGGTTGCTGCTGCTAAAACATTTTTTTAAACGAAAATAGGCCTACACCCATTCAGCCTGAATACAAATGTGGGGGACTCTATTATACAAAATAGAAACAAATATGAATTTGAAAACAAAACATTATCATGATAATGCATTCTGTCTATGAATCCATGATTATGGAATTACCATGCAAACAGCTAGCGTTGGGAGGCAGCCGGGGGATGTTATGTAATGGCAGCAGCATAACAATACTATACAGGCTTCAATAAGCTCCTCCGCAGCTATAGGCCTTAAGGCGCTACCCCGATATATTACCCGTCCTTCCAATAGAGCTTCCAACGTAACCATATCTTATCATTATCGATCATCTAATAACACATTCATCCACATTTCAAAACGGATTGGCAATAGCTTTAGCGCAAGAATGTGTCGCACTGTAGGCTGACAGAGCCGTTTCATTTTTCACAAGGTATCTCGAGTACATAATGTCCGCTTATGTCATAGCCTGCCGCTACCGCAGGCGCGCTCACAGCTGATGCTCCATCTTTTGCCGTTTATGTGAAATCGGTTACATTGTTACATTACACATATACTATAGGCTACATTTCCTGTTACAATAGGCTACCGAAATAAAGACGATTAATTAACATACCGTGGGCCCATCTTTCATGATGATTTTCTTGACCAACACTATACGGTTGGTACCCTGTTGATCTTTCTCTCCCGGAGCCATCTCCTCATTACATTTTGCCGGAGTTACATAGAATCCATGCTGCGTAGGGATCTTCGGTTCACCCGCTTCTTCCAGGATGCCTTCTTATTTAGCCTTGGAAGGCTAACGGTTAACAAATTACGTGTTTATAACCCAGTAGTCAACCGAATTGACAACACCTGCGAATAATGTACAAAATGGATATTGCATACGTCATCAACACGTCTTCTCTATTCCCTCTGTACGGAGGACAGCGCACTCCAGCGATGGAAGATTAGAGATGGTGCTGAAGGGACTGACTGTGGATCAGTGTGTGGTTTTATGGGACCGTTTTACACATCAGCTTGATGTCGGCTAAAGGTGGAGAAAGCTGGTCTGAAACCAGATTTAGGGCTAAGCACCGTTTCTTCCTGCAGCCACGCTAGCGGGATGTACAGTACCCGGAAGCCACGTGTCTATTGAGGTTTATTCTCTGGTCCAAATAAAACATGTATTTGTGGTTAACTGTATTGAATTGAAAGAGCAGAGCATAACCCAGTTTACTCTGAGAAACATGAGCTGTGATCAAATATTCAAAATAATATAATTGGGAGGCTATATGAGGAAACATATGCTGCATTGCATTCTAGGTGTTTTATTCAGAAATACACTGTCAAAAAAGGTTAACCCATTGATTTTATTACTGCTCGGATGTGTTTTGGATCACCTTCCATATAGTAGCAAATTATGCATTGCCTGTTTTTCTTGCAGGTGTAATTGAATGAAGTGTCGCCTACACAAGATCCTTTTTGTTTATGAAAAATGTATGCCCTCACTAACTGTAAGTCGCTCTGGATAAGAGCGTCTGCTAAATGACTCAAATGTAAAATGTAATGGTAAATTGCTATTGCATGCTCAAAGGTGTATACCAGGTGGGTAAGTCATGTGAAAACATATTTCTTTACTGGTAGCTTGTGCTCCATGGGGTCTGTTTGTGGTCATCACTAGGCAACGAGAGTGTTCAGTTTACCTACATGGCAACAGTGTGCCTGTAAGAGGACACGCTGCTTAACCAGCATACTATTCTAGGATTACCTGTGGCAGATTACTTCTCCACCATAATACTTATGGTACTTTACATAACACCAGGATTACTTCAGGTTGGCAGTTTTGTCAATAAAAGATATTGATCATCTTCAGAGCTATTTGTGTCTGTTTCTGTAGACAGAATGGCATTAGCAAGTGGACACTGGGTTGCCAAGGAAACAAAAGGTGAACCGCCAAGCCCCAGGTAAGTAACTGTGTGTGTGTGTGTGTGTGTGTGTGTATGTGTGTGTGTGTTTGCGTGCATGTGTGCATGCTTGTGTGTGTGCTTCTCTCAGTGACAGCTCAGCATTTCTCCCGTCATCACCTCAGGTATGCCCCAAGTCTTTTCTTAACTTGGCTGAACATGCCACTCTAGAAGCAGACGGAAAAACAACAAAGTTGTTTCCATGTTTCATTTCTCCATTTCCACATATCTCCACCTTCCCAGGCATGGCCATGCGCTAGCTGTGGCTGGGAATATAGCTTTCCTGTTTGGAGGGGTGTCCACCATATCCCATGAGGTAAATCTCACCACCTTATGCTACCATTTGGTAAGACTATCTAAAACACTGTAATGAACCTAACAATGTATTTCCCCTTGTTCTGTAGGAGGATCAGCCTGTATATTTGAATGACTTCTACATGCTCACAGGTACAGTATAATTCTACTCTATGAGCTCAACCCAACACATGTAGGCTATGACTAAATACCCCTATTGACAGTCTGGATTAATCATAATTCAAGCCTTCTTAAACATGCATTGTATTATGATTACTCACATATGATTACTCACTTCACTCTACAAACTTGTATTGTGTTTCTAGTTTCAGCCACTCACATCACATGGGAGGTGATGCCACAGAATGGGGTTGTACCCCCAGCAAGAGAAGGACACACACTTTGGTAATTGATATACTGTATACAGCATCTGAACAATTAGGATATCTCAATTACCATTTGAATCTCAGACCATACTAATACTGTATGCTATTTGTCTTCAAATCAATCATGGAGACATTCATTGAGACATCTGTTGAGATGTACATATATACTGTAGATATATTCTCCCTGCCTCCACAGTGTGGTTAAAGGCAAGCTCTACCTGTTTGGAGGAGTGGCCAGTCCGCAGGCTGGAGAATGTCTTCCTGGCGTCTACTGCTTTGACATAGGTAAGATTACAGGGCAGGGAGTCCCTGGGTTATTATAGGGAAGCAGTGTATTATTATTTCCACAACCCGTGCTTAGGATCTTTAGGGTGAGATTGTGATCTTCATTACAGGTTATCATGACTAAAACTACACAGTTTAACACAGAGTCAAACATGCCCTCTGATCTCATTGGCTACAGTGTCGTTGACGTGGGAGCGGCTCGCCAAAGGGGGTGTGTCTCTCAGAACCATCAGACACAGTTCCTTCGCTGTGGGAGACAACATTTATGTCTATGGTGGGCACCAAGACGGGGTCCCCACTGATGACCTCATGATGTTCAACACAGGTCTGTATGGGCCAGTGTGTAGCCATGGTCACTGACAAGCATAGCAAACACTTTCATCCAAAGCTACGTAAAAGACACATAAAATCAGTGACCCTGTTGCTGTCAGGTCGAACCCACTGATTAGGAAGTAAATTATAAATAATGCTTCCGTGGAGGTTAACTTTGGTGAGGGGGAATAATTATGCATGTAGAGGAATGTATCTCTTCAGTCTGTTTGGTTCAGAGTGTGTCTGCTTGTATTTCAGCGTCTCTGAACTGGACCCCAGTCAAGACCACTGGCACTCTGCCATCTGCAAGGTAATTTACTCCGTCGTAAACATAAGAAGCCTTACTAGTGGTCTCAAATTACAGCAATGAGCTAAAGATTCTCCTGTTGAAAGGATGCATCTTTACATTTGCTGGGTTTAGCTAATATTGTACGCCAGAAGACTTGTTTGTTAGCTGTGCTGCATTCCATCACAGAGTGTGCGTAGGTTGCCATGGCACAGTATGTTGACAACGGCAACCAATAGAGTAACGGACGACCTCATGTGAAACTATATCTGAATGCCATCTGTCTTCCATTGAAGCCCCCCAGTACTTGGCACGGTTCAGTCATGACAGTTCCAAGGACGCCCAACAGTCTAGTATGGGCACTCTCATCCTCATCCTAATCCAAATTCACACAGCCCTTGCCTTGAAACAAGTTTGGCTTCATTTCAGTTCTGAACTTAGTTCAATTCAGTCCAGTTTTATTTTATATGTCTTTACGAACACTTTTTTTTTTTTTGACAGAAAGAACATTGTAGCCTAATACATTGCTTGTTGTCATGCTCTGTTTCTGCAGATGCAGCCTGCTACAGTATTTGCCTGTGTCTGTGATGTTTTGTCTTTGTAGATACAACCAGACGTTTGCTGTAGTCAGTGAGCAGGTGTTCATGTTTGGGGGATGTGCTGAGGATGGCTGCTACTACAGAGACATCCATGTTCTCAACACGGGTAAAGAAATGCTAGTGCACCTACAGACTTCATAAATGACATCACCAGCAGCAAACCACTATGATGTAATGCTGTTATTCTAAACTCACTGTGACATTTTTTTTATACATTATTGATGTAACATTGGAATTGTCAGAATAGATGTGGTAAAGAGGTCAATGGAATTCGACCAGAACTATGGGAATGCCAAGGAAACGAGTGGGGGCAAGATAGTGTGGGGGAAAGATCCTGATTCTCCTCAGCAAAATTATCCTACATTTAGGCTATTGTTTATGTGTTTATTTCACACTATGAGGGAAAAATCAGAGTATAATGCTTGTATGGATGTCAACCCCAATGCATGTACATGTCATCGTCACCAATCAACTTCATTACAGATAAAAACGACTGACTACCACTGCCAATTTCTGAATGCTAGCTATGCTACCAGCTTGTACGAACTGGAGTTAGCATTTGGCAGTCACTTCTTCTAAACCTGAAAAGGGACTTCTTCTAAATGTTATGCAGTGAAAACAGACAAATATATCCAAATCGGACTTTAGTAACCACATTGTGGGCCTGTTACAATACATCAATCAGATTTCCCCCATGGTCTGCGTTCCATTGACCTATTTTCTTAGCCTCCAACTGCTCTTAAACACTAGTAAAACGAAATGCATGCTCTTCAATCGAACGCTGCTGGCACCCGCCCACCCGACTAGAATCACTACTCTCGACGGGTCTGACCTAGAGTATGTGGACAACTACAAATACCTAGGAGTCTGGTTAGACTGTAAACTCTCCTTCCAGACTCACATTAAGCATCTCCAATCCAAAGTTAAATCTAAAATTGGCTTCCAATTTCGCAACAAAACCTCCTTCACTCATGCTGCTAAACATGCCCTCGTAAAACTGACTATCCTACCGATCCTTGACTTCGGCGATGTCATTTACAAAATAGCTTCCAACACTGTACTCAGCAAATTGGATGTAGTCTATCACAGTGCCATCCGTTTTGTCACCAAAGCCCCATATACGAACTTAAATGACCTCATCCTCGAACAGCCTACATAGGGTTCCAAAAGGGTTCTGTGGCTGTCCCCATAGAATAACCCTTTTTGGTTCCAGGTAGAACCTTTTTGGTTTCAGGTAGAACTCTTTTGGTTTCCATGTAGAACCCTCTGTGGAAAGGATTCTACATGGAACCCAAAAGGGTTCTACCTGGAACCAATAGGGGTTCTTCAAAGGGTTCTCCTTTGGGGACAGCTGAATAACCATTTTTGGTTCTAGATAGCACCTTTTTTTCTAAGAGTGTAGTGCGACTTCATTAATGACATCATTACCAGCAAACCAGTATGATGTAATGCAATCATCAGAATGGGGCTCAACTTGTCTGACCTCATCCTCAGACAGCCTATTCTGACATTATTAATAAATCAGCAGCAGCAAACCACTATGATGTAATGTTGTTATTCTAAACTCATTGTGACATCGATAGTGCATTATTGATGTCACAGTGGAATGGGGCAGAAGTGAACTAAAGTGACCTCTCATTCTCAGAATCCCTGGTGTGGCAGAGGTATGGTGTGAAGGGGGAGTCGCCCCTGGCCTGTGCAGGTCAGACCCTCACAGCACATCATGACAAGGTATAAACATCACACTAAATGCCCCCTCACCACCTACCAAAAATACCCAATGATAATGATATTGCCAGGCAACAGAATGCTTGAATCATTAAATCCTTAACGGACTATGAATGTCTACTTTGGTGTTATTCATGTACTCATGTTCTTATTATTTGAATATCATTCAATTCAGGATATTTACTTGTTTGGTGGCAAATGCACCAGTCAGGATGGAACAGTCACATCAACAAATGAAATTCATAAATTAAGCATTGGTAAGTCAAACAGCATCATCATGGTTTCCACTATATTATCATGGGCATTAGCATACTGCATGTTTGCTGTCCTCGTGTGGAAAAAGTCCATGCAAAAAAATCCATCCCACTTTCCTTCAAGCAATTATTATTTGTTTTCAGCGGTTTGAATAAAGATCAGAGGGGTACAGATAAAGGCCTAGTAGCTGACACGTACTGACATGTCCCCCCTTCCCTGTCTCTTCTCCCTCCCTCTACTTCTCTCCCTCCCTGGTCTCTCTCTCTCTCTTTCTCCATCCCTCTCTCCTTCTCTCCCTCCATCTCCCCCACTCCAGCTAAGATGAAATGGAAGGTGCCTCTCTATGTGGGGATTCCTCCGGCCCGACGTCATGACCACACAGCCTTCATCCTTCACAGCCATGTGTGTGTGTGTGTGTGTGTGTGTGTGTGTGTGTGTGTGTGTGTGTGTGTGTGTGTGTGTGTGTGTGTGTGTGTGTGTGTGTTTGTGTGTGTTTGTGTGTGTTTGTGTATGTTTGTGTGTGTGTATGCTTGGATGCATGTGCACACACGTGTGTGTCATCTGTCTATCTCTTCCTCTATTGTTCTCTCTTAATGATCTGATGTTCTGGATAAGAGCATCTGCTAAATGACAAAAAATGTAAAAATGTAAATGTAAAATGTTCGTATTATGCAGATGTATGTATTCGGTGGCAAAAATGAAGAACAAGAATTCAATGACCTGAAGGTGATGAAATTGATTAACCCATCCGAAAGACAGCCAGGTAACACAGCCTATATCAATTTCAAAGATTTCCAATACTTGGGTAGTTTTTTTGCCATTCCATTACACTTTTACATCTTTCTTCAACCTTTATTCATGTGTCTCTGGGAGTTTGATGTAATTTGATAAGCCGGTGCTGCAGTTCCGTTCTGTTCTTCTAATAGTGATGAAGGAGATTCTATCTGAGTTTGGGCTTCAGGGAGTCAGCCATGGGTGAGTATTTTGGTATGTCAGCTATCCTATTCACACTACAATTAACATTTTGCTCTCTTTTGCAGACTTTTTTTTTCTGGTTTGGCTGTGTTATTTACGTTCACCTACAGATGTAGAATCTGAACCAGTCTCCTACAGCAGAAAAATTATCCTGCTGCAAAACAGGAAATGTGAATTATTGTGTGGATTTTAATTAATTGACATTTTTGTAGCAGTTGATACATTTTTCGTAAGGGGAAATCAAGTCTGAAATTTTTGTGGAAATTACATCTTTAGAAGCCTTTTTAAACCTAAAATACACTACAAGTTTTACATTTCCTGCATTTCAGGAAAGTTATCCTGCAACAGGGTGATCAAGTTAAGATCCTACACCTACACAGTTACAGTTATTCAAATTAGGTTTCAGGTTTCACAAAGCTGTTTCGCTCTCAATTGATCAGCTTCGCGCCGACAAAGGTTCCCAATGTCAAGTATGAGTTGAGTGAGTCTCCATCGCTGTTTTCTGTGAGGACGGATGCAGCTGCCTCTGCACAGGTGGGTCACATGTAAAGCAGTGAACTTTTCATCAAACTGCATAGAGGCATTGTTAATGTATGATGTAGTAACTTAGTAAAATACTTAAGGCAGTCAATCAATCAATCAAATGTATTTTTAAATCCCTTTTTACATCAGCAGTTTTCACACAGTTCTATACAGAAACCCAGCCTAAAACCCTAAAGAGCAAGCAATGCAGATGTAGAAGCATGGTGGCTAGGAACAACTCCCTTGAAAGGCAGGAACCTAGGAAGAAACCTAGAGAGGAACCAGGCTCCGAGGGGTGGCCAGTCCGCTTCTGGCTGTGCCAGGTGGAGATTATAAGAGTACATGGCCATTAAGGCCTGATCGTTCTTCAAGACGTTCAACCTTTTATAGATGACCAGCTGAGTCAAATAATAACCACAGTGGTTATAGAGGTTGCAGCAGTTCAACACCTCAGGAGTAAATGTCATTTGGCTTTTCATAGCCGAGCATTCAGAGGTCGAAACAGCAGGTCCGGGTAAGAACAAGAGAGAGAAAGGGTCGAAACAGCAGGTCCGGGTAAGAACAAGAGAGAGAAAGGGTCGAAACAGCAGGTCCGGGTAAGAACAAGAGAGAAAAAGGGTCGAAACAGCAGGTCCGGTGAAACAGGTCAGGGTTCCATAGCCTCAGGCAGAACAGCAGAACTGGATCGGCAGCATGACCGGGTGGAGTGGGGACAGGGACAGCCAGGAGTCGTCAGGCCAGGTAGTCCTGAGGTATGGTCCTAGGGATCAGGAGAGAGAGAGAGCAAGAGAGAGAGAGAGAGAGGAGCCAAACTTTCCTTAAGAAAACCCCACCTTGTAAGACATGTTATTATATGCAGGTAGTAGCAACTTGCTCACATACTGTTTTTATAACAACTTGTAGCCTGTATGTTTATTGTGCTGATGTTACATCATTAGGTTACAGCCCAAAGAGACTTCAGTGCCGTCCGAGATGAGGCGATGGATATGATCCATAAAGCTTTCTCCATGCTTGATGGAGAATTCCAGAAGCTTGACAGGTATTATGTTTTCAATCTAGGTCCAAAGTTTGACAAACAGATCACCTTTTCAGTGGTGGTGTCAAACATTTTCCTTACCAATAAACTCTTAATTAATTGACTGAGTGACTGACAAACCGATTCATTCATGCATTCATTCATTCATTCATTCATCCATTCAATCACTTATTCATTACCGTAGAGAAAGGTCAGAGCTTGCTCAGTCTGCAGCTGCTCTTCAGTACAAGAGAGAAGCTCACGAAGCCCACCATCAGCAACAGGAGGAGGTAAAGGCTCATTCATAGTTCAAGATTATCACTCACTCACTCACTAAATATGTAGCTTTCCAATAGTTCCCCTTTTTGTGGGGGTGAATAATTTAAATTCTATGAAATAATGGTTTTCCAGGAAGAATGACGGAAGCTTTGTTTGTGGTTTTTGGTATTACAGGAACTACGACAAATGCTTGAGCGACACAGAGCCCAGAATGAGACCTGGCTACGTGCACGGGCAGAGGAGAATGACAAGGAAAGGAAGGGGCTGTGTAAACTCAGAGTAACTAACCACACACACAAACAGTAGCACAAACATAAACATGCATGCAGTTCCAGGTGTAGAGTTAAAAGTGTATTCCTCAAGTGTAGGAGATTACATGTGAAGTTGTACTCAATTCAGTTTTATTTCTAGTGGATGATCACATGACATTATGGGTTACAGTCATACCTTTCAGTACTAGGCTACCAGAAAACCCCTAATCTGTTCAGAAAAGGTAGCCGTCCACCTATGAATACGCCAATGTGCTTTTGCTGAAGTGTACGCTCAATGTCCTGCTGAAAGCCAGGTATAGGGCATATTTTTCCATAGAATAAGGAATTAGAATACTAGAATGGAAATGAACCTTCTTATGATGGTCCAAGGGTCAGCCATGTTGGTCAGGGAGTTGGTCAACCATGGTTTGCCAGTGCCTTCAGAAAGTATTCACATCCCTTGACTTTTTCCACATTTTGTTGTGTTACAGCCTGAACTTAAAATGGATTAAATTGAGATGTTGTGTCACTGGCCTACTCACAATACCCCATAATGTCAAAGTAGAATGATGTTTAGATTATTTTTTTAAACAAATTAATTACAAATTAAAAGCTGAAATGTCTTGAGTCAATAAGTATTCAACCCCTTTGTTATGGCAAGCCTAAATAAGTTCAGGAGTAAAAAGTTGTATAATAAGTGGCATGGACTCACTCTGTATATTAGTGTTTAACATGATTTGTGAATGACTACCTCATCTCTGTACCCCATACATATACAGTGGGGAGAACAAGTATTTGATACACTGCCGATTTTGCAGGTTTTCCTACTTACAAAGCATGTAGAGGTCTGTAATTTTTATCATAGGTACACAACTGTGAGAGACGGAATCTAAAACAAAAATCCAGAAAATCACATTGTATGATTTTTAAGTAATTAATTTGCATTTTATTGCATGACATAAGTATTTGATACATCAGAAAAGCAGAACTTAATATTTGGTACAGAAACCTTTGTTTGCAATTACAGAGATCATAAGTTTCCTGTAGGTCTTGACCAGGTTTGCACACACTGCAGCAAGGATTTTGGCCCACTCCTCCATACAGACCTTCTCCAGATCCTTCAGGTTTCGGGGCTGTCGCTGGGCAATACGGACTTTCAGCTCCCTCCAAAGATTGTCTATTGGGTGCAGGTCTGGAGACTGGCTAGGCCACTCCAGGACCTTGAGATGCTTCTTACGGAGCCACTCCTTAGTTGCCCTGGCTGTGTGTTTTGGGTCGTTGTCTTGCTGGAAGACCCAGCCACGACCCATCTTCAATGCTCTTACTGAGGTTAGGAGGTTGTTGGCCAAGATCTCGCGATACATGGCCCCATCCATCCTCCCCTCAATACGGTGCAGTCGTCCTGTCCCCTTTGCAGAAAAGCATCCCCAAAGAATGATGTTTCCACCTCCATGCTTCACGGTTGGAATGGTGTTCTTGGGGTTGTACTCATCCTTCTTCTTCCTCCAAACACGGCGAGTGGAGTTTAGACCATAAAGCTCTATTTTTGTCTCATCAGACCACATGACCTTCTCCCATTCCTCCTCTGGATCATCCAGATGGTTATTGGCAAACTTCAGATGGGCCTGGACATGCGCTGGCTTGAGCAGGGGGACCTTGCGTGCGCTGCAGGATTTTAATCCATGGCGGCGTAGTGTGTTACTAATGGTTTTCTTTGAGACTGTGGTCCCAGCTCTCTTCAGGTCATTGACCAGGTCCTGCCGTGTAGTTCTGGGCTGATCCCTCACCTTCCTCATGATCATTGATGACCCACGAGGTGAGATCTTGCATGGAGCCCCAGACCGAGGGTGATTGACCGTCATCTTGAACTTCTTCCATTTTCTAATAATTGCGCCAACAGTTGTTGCCTTCTCACCAAGCTGCTTGCCTATTGTCCTGTAGCCCATCCCTGCCTTGTGCAGGTCTACAATTTTATCCCTGATGTCCTTACACAGCTCTCTGGTCTTGGCCATTGTGGAGAGGTTGGAGTCTGTTTGATTGAGTGTGTGGACAGGTGTCTTTTATACAGGTAACGAGTTCAAACAGGTCCAGTTAATACAGGTAATGAGTGGAGCACAGGAGGGCTTCTTAAAGAAAAACTAACAGGTCTGTGAGAGCCAGAATTCTTACTGGTTGGTAGGTGATCAAATACTTATGTCATGCAATAAAATGCAAATGAATTACTTAAAAATCATACAATGTGATTTTCTGGATTTTGTTTTAGATTTCGTCTCTCACAGTTGAAGTGTACCTATGATAAAAATTACAGACCTCTACATGCTTTGTAAGTAGGAAAACCTGCAAAATCGGCAGTGTATCAAATACTTGTTCTCCCCACTGTAATTATCTGTAAGGTTCCTTTAGTCGAGCATTGAATTTCAAACCCAGATTCAACCACAAAGACCAGGGAGGTTTTCCAATGCCTCGCAAAGAAGGGCAACTATTTGTAGATTAGTAAAAAAATTAAATAAAAAAAAGACATTGAATAGCATGCTGAAGTTATTAATTACACTTTGGCTGGTGTATCAATACACTCAGTCACTACAAAGATACAGGCTTCCTTTCTAACTCAGTTGCCGTAGAGGGATTTCACCATTAGGCCAATGGTGACTTTAAAACAGTTACAGAGTTTAATGGCTGTGAAAGGAGAAAACTGAGAATGTATCAACAACATTGTAGTTACTCCACAATATTAACCTAAATGACAGAGTGAAAATAAGGAAGCCTGTACAGAATAAAACATATTACAAAACATGCATCCTGTTTGCAATAAGGCACTAAAGTAAAATTGCAAAATATTTGGCAAAGAAATTAACTTTATGTCCTGACTACTACAAAGCGTTATGTTTGGGGCAAATCCAATACAACACATCACTGAGTACCACTCTTTATATTTTCAAGCATGGTGGTGGCTGCATCATGTTATGGGTATGCTTGTCATCGGCAAGGACTTGGGAGTTTATAATGGGATAAATAGAAATGGAATAGAGCTAAGCACAGGCAAAATCCTAGAGGAAAACCTGGTTCAATCTGCTTTCCAACAGACACTGGGAGACAAATTCACCTTTCAGCAGGACAATAACCTAAAATACAAGGCCAAATATACACTGGAGTTGCTTACCAAGACGACATTGAATGTTCCAGAGTGGCCTAGTTACAGTTTTGACTTAAATCAGCTTGAAAATCTATAGCAAGACTTGAAAATGGCTGTCTAGACTTACCCAGAAAGACTCCCAGCTGTAATTGCTGCCAAAGGTGATTATAACATGTATTGACTCAGTGGGTTGAATACTTATGTAATCAAGATATATTAGTGTTTTCTTTTTCAGATTTTTTTTTTTTTATGTTAGAATTTTTCTTCCACTTTGACATTATAGAGTTTTTTGTGTAGTTGGTTGACAAAAAATGACAATTAAATCCATTTGAATCCCACCTTGCAACACAACAAAATGTGGAAAAAATAAATGAGTGTGAATACTTTCTGACGGCACTGTATGTGTGTTAGCTAGCTAGCCAGTCAGTTTTAGAGGTATGATTCCATTAATTTGTCAAATTAACAGCCACACACTAGCTCATTTCAGTTGATAATAGGACTTAAACAAGTTGTAAATGCAACCAGTACTGATATTGTAGCTCAGTTGGTAGAGCATGGCGTTTGCAACGCCAGGGTTGTGGGTTCGATTCCCACGGGGGGCCGGTATGAAAAGAAAAATAATGTATGCACTCACTAACTGTAAGTCGCTCTGGATAAGAGCGTCTGCTAAATGACTAAAATGTAAATGTAAAAATATAATAGCACTCACAGCTTTTCAAGAAAACAAAAGCTGAAACATTTATGGCCTGTTTACATATATTTTTGAGTCTATTTATACAGAAAATGTGTATAAATCCCGAATAAACTGTATTTATAGTTATATTACAATATTTTAGGTTGACTATAATTCCATTACACAATTGCTGATACATCACATGCCATAGTTGTATTTTCCTGCATAATAAAAAGCAGGAAATGCATCACCTATGCCATACCAAAACTAGAATAGTCCCAATAAGCAAAATGACGTTGATAAGACGGGGGGGGGGGGGGGGCAGTCTGAAAATGTATGCACTCACTAATTGTAAGTCACTCTAGATAAGAGCGTCTGCTAAATGACTAAAATGTAAAACAGGCTGTTGCATTGGCTTTATGATTCCTGTGACTAATCAATTTGGCTATTTAAGCTCTGAATATCAGCTACCCAACTTTATCAGGATCTATCGTGAGCCTATTTGCAATGTGTTTACACAGCGGGAAATGCAGAAGTATTTTATTTTAGCCATGGTCAGCTTGTAAAAAATGTATGGATACAAACTTGAAACCACTGATCATGACAATGGGGTGAAACTCCTGGACAACAGTTGTGATTGTCCATTCCATATTGTCCATTTAACTTTGACCTGTCCCGTTTTTAGGATATATTGTTAATTAACACGACAGCGCATTTTTTATTTGATTGAGCGCCATTTAGGTTAGGCTATTTGATCGGAGAAACCTGCATCATGATATAGAAAGTGTCCATCTCATTACATTGTCACACATTCAATATCCAGCCTGTAGGCTACAGAAAATGCCACATACTATTTCTACCATGTCCTATATCTGCTACATGATTAATGTTAGATTATTTGTTTGATGGAACGTTGGTGCATCGCTGTGTGCTGGGAATGGACAAGCAAAATATTTTTGCTGCCCCTGCCTTTGACAAATCGGCCACTGCTTATCACAGGGCGGCATCAGCGCTCACCTACAGTGCCTTGCAAAAGTATTCATCCCCCTTGGCGTTTTTCCTATTTTGTTGCATTATAACCTGTAATTTAAATTGATTTTTATTTGGATTTCATGTAATGGACATACACAAAATAGTCAAAATTGGTGAAGTGAAATGAAAATAACTTGTTTAAAAAAATTCTAATAAATAAATAACGGAAAAGGGGTGCGTGCATATGTATTCACCCCCTTTGCTATGAAGCCCCTAAATAAGATCTGGTGCAACCAATTACCTTCAGAAGTCACATAATTAGTTAAATAAAGTCCGCCTGTGTGCAATCTAAGTGTCACATGATCTGTCACATGATCTCAGTATATATACACCTGTTCTGAAAGGCCCCAGAGTCTGCAACACCACTAAGCAAGGGGCACCACCAAACAAGCGGCACCATGAAGACCAAGGAGCTCTCCAAACAGGTCAGGGACAAAGTTGTGGAGAAGTACAGATCAGGGTTGGGTTATAAAAAAATATCAGAAACGTTGAACATCCCACGGAGCACCATTAAATCCATTATAAAAAAATTGAAAGAATATGGCACCACAACAAACCTGCCAGGAGAGGGCCGCCCACCAAAACTCACAGACCAGGCAAGGATGGCATTAATCACAGAGACAACAAAGAGACCAAAGATAACCCTGAAGGAGCTGCAAAGCTCCACAGCGGAGATTGGAGTATCTGTCCATAGGACCACTTTAAGCCGTACACTCCACAGAGCTGGGCTTTACGGAAGAGTGGCAATAAAAAAGCCATTGCTTAAAGAAAAGAATAAGCAAACACTTTGGTGTTCACCAAAAGGAATGTGGGAGACTCCCCAAACATATGGAAGAAGGTACTCTGGTCAGATGAGACTCAAATTGAGCTATTTGGCCATCAAGGAAAATGCTATGTCTGGCGCAAACCCAACACCTCTCATCACTTTGAGAACACCATCCCCTCAGTGAAGCATGGTGGTGGCAGCATCATGCTGTGGGGATGTTTTTCATCGGCAGGAACTGGGAAACTGGTCAGAATTGAAGGAATGATGGATGGTGCTAAATACAGGGAAATTCTTGAGGGAAACCTGTTTCAGTCTTCCAGAGATTTGAGACTGGGACGGAGGTTCACCTTCCAGCAGGACAATGACCCTAAAGCAACACTTGAGTGGTTTAAGGGGAAACATTTCAATGTCTTGGAATGGTCTAGTCAAAGCCCAGACCTCAATCCAATTGAGAGTCTGTTGTATGACTTAAAGATTGCTGTACACCAGTGGAACCCATCCAAGTTGAAGGAGCTGGAGCAATTTTGCCTTGAAGAATAGGCAAAAATCCCAGTGGCTAGATGTGCCAAACTTATAGAGACATACCCCAAGAGACTTGCAGCTGTAATTGCTGCAAAAGGTGGCTCTACAAGGGGGGGGGGGGGGGGGGGGGTAAATCAAATGATTCAAACCTAAAAAAAATGTAAGGCAACAATATAGGAAAAATGCAAAGGGGTGTGAATACTTTCGGAAGCCACTGTAAATAGCCCATATGCCACAGGTTGAGACATTTTTTAATAATTTCTGGGCAGAATTATTTGAGGTTCTATGTGTTGTTGTTGGATGTGCGTCTTGGACAGTTTAGCTCAGAAAATGTAGTCCTAGTCAATCTTCCGCCATAGGCCGTTGCCTAATCCTGCCTAATAAGAGGGCCGGCCATGGCTTTATGACATACCTCTCTAGTAATTTAATAGGATCTTTATGTATTTTTCATGAATTTTCCCTCTCTCTTCCAAGGAGGAGGTTGTGCACGAGCAGGGGAGACTGAAAGAGGAGCAGGGAAACATCCAGAAACGCAGCGAGCACCTCCTATCCATCATGCAACAGTTTAAAGGCATGTAAAGACACGTAATCATGGCAACCAACTGGAGGACGCGGACCTGTCGCGTTTGTGGGTGTGGCTTACTTTCCCAAGGATGACCAACTCAAAAGCGTTTGTTTAAAGAAAATGTGACATTAATTTGTGTTTTTCCACTGGTGTGTGTGTTTGAATAGTTAGCATTGCGTGCATAGCTAAGATTAATTTTTGCTGTCTTTTGCCAGATAGTCATAATATCTTTAGCGAGACGGGGATAATTTTGACCCTGTCAAAAGAACAAACATCACTCAAGGCATTTGTTTAAACCTCTGGAATGGTTGGTAAAAATTCCTAGGACATATCAAAGTTGGTCATGATAGGTCTAAGCAAAATGTTGGAAAGGAGAATAATTAACTGAGTTGTTGATTGATGTAGCCTAATCATGTTCATAAAAAATTTGGATTATTTGGCATATCTTGTCATATCTGCATAAAACAACTTTCTGTTCACTCATCATTCAAATAATCCCACACTGAAGGCTTACTCTTTTATCAACATACTTTAAAATAACTGAGGGAATATTATATTATATTATAAATGTGGGCATATTTTCTTAGGTAAACCCTGCATGGGAATAGATAACTCACAAATTAAAGAACAAAAAGAAAAAAATGCTATGCATAAGAACTGGTTGTCAATTAAGTAATTTACTCAAATAGCTTTCCTCTTGTCCTCAAATTGTTCCCAGCTCTCTCGTAGCATAGAGATCCTATTAAATTAATAAAGTATTATAATTCTTAATTCTGTGTCGCAGTCAAACAAACGCGCAGGCGCAGAGCTGTCGGTTCGGGAAAAGCGAAATGACTCACTATTTTGCAGGAAGACAGAATTTATTGCATCAATTATTTATCTGATGTAACACTTTTTGGCAGAGGAAGGGGAGGGGATGGTTTTTGCCGTAATCAGGGTTGCCATCAAACGGATACTGACGGAGGCACAGGGGAGAAAGCGGGATAGGAAAATATCTTGCTATAATTTCACAATAAATCGGGTAAGACATTCCGAAACACAAATAGCTATTCTCACACACAGGAAGCCAGCCACAAACATTAATTAAAAAGGTATCTATGGGCGCGTTACATGACTCTTCAAAACTGGGGTGGAAAGGAGACTGGTTTGAGGCATTTGTCTTCATTTTAAAATGTGTTTCTTGTTAACCAGAGTATAGTCCCTGTTGGTTCGACTGCACCGTTTCCCTGCTCTCCCTTTTGCTGCGGGGATAGTAAATATGGCTGACACTGACCACTGCAGCTACTAGTGTAGCTAATGTACCGTGCTGGTTGCAGACGGCATTTACCTTACATTGCAAGACATTGTGTTGTGATGTCTTCAATCGATGAAGCGATCACTTGATTCAGAAGTATTGGTTACAAAGTTAACTAGCTAGGTAGCTATCAATCTAGTTAGTTTGGTTTGTTTGCTAAGTAGCTAGTCAGCGTAAAGGGGCATTTTTTTTCGCCAACAGATTTGGCTAGACTGCTTCAAAGACTAATGTTAGCCTGCCCAGTCAAAGACAAGTTGAAAACAGTGTTGTAGCTAAATGTGCAATACAACAAATAATTGTCTTTACATAGCTAACTAACTAAACTGATCAACTATCTTATAAACTGTGGTAACTTTTTATACTTCAATGTAACTAGCTAACTACTTAGGATTTCAGTTTGTTGTAACATAATCTGGCCAACCTAACAACTGTTAAATGATCTTGAGGCATTGTGCCGAGTTCCTCAGTCTGTGGAGCCAGTCCCAAGCTTCCTATCTAGCAACCAAAGCAAAGGTCACATTGACTGCACAATGTCATGAATGAAGATCAGCTCGACAGACTATTCATTCAGTATCAAGTGTGTCTGACAGCTATTTATCATATGTGTTAATTTGTATCCTACATTTGATGCCAGTCTGTTGAGCATTTAAAAAGGAGAAAGTAGACCAGGGGTATTCAACCTGGGGCCCGCGGCCCCCAAGGGGTCAGTGAAAATATCTAACATCTATTCATTTAAAAAATGTTGATTACTACTCCTTGCCATTCACGTGATGATAAGACAAGATGTGAATTTTTTATTTTTTTGCTAACATAATGGGGGTCGCTGGTTTGCCTGGGTGGAGGTCCCTGGGCAAGAAATGATTGAAGACCCCTGAAGTAGATGCTTTACAAGTTGATTAGGCTAATATTCCATTCTGTGATTGGAAAATATCTGCACAAATGGATGACAGTTGGCATGATGCCATTCATTCTGCCTTTGTCATAACTCATGTCTGATTAGCCTATGTGATTTTACGTGATTGAAATTTTAATTCACTGTTGCCTAGGGTCAGGTTTTCGAGACTACTCAGGGATTGAAATTAAGGTCTGAAAGTCAGTTGCCTGTTGGGCAAGTCAGGTGTTTTTTTTGGTTGCCCGGAGATTACATGCAGAAATGCCATATACAGGGCCTTCAGAAAGTCTTCACACCCCTTGACCTATTCAACATTTTTTTTGTCACTGGCCTACACACAATACCCATAATGTCAAAGTGGAATTTTGTTTCTATACTTTTTTACTAATTAATAAAAAATGAAAAGCTGAAATGTCTTGAGTCAATAAGTATTCAACCCCTTTGTTATGGCAAGCCTAAATCAGTTCAGGAGTAACAAATGTGCTTAACAAGTCACATAATAAGTTGCATGGACTCACTCTGTGTGCAATAATAGTGTTTGACATGAATTTTGAATGACTACCTCATCTCTTTACCCCACACATACAATTATCTGGTCCCTCATTTGAGCAGTGAATTTCAAACACAGATTCAACCTCAAAGACCAGGGAGGTTTTCCAATGCTTCGCAAAGAAGGGCACCTATTGGTAGATGGGTAAAAAAAAAAAAGACATTGAATGTCCCTTTGAGCATGGTGAAGTTATTAATTACACTTTGGATGGTGTATCAATACACCCAGTCACTACGAAGTTACAGGCATCCTTCCTAACTCCGTTGCTGGAGAGGAGGGAAACTGCTCAGGGATTTCACCATGAGGCCAATGGTGACTTTAAAACAGTTAGAGTTTAATGGCTGTGATTAAGAGAACTGAAGATGGATCAACAACATTGTAGTTACTCCGCAATACTAACCTAATTGACTGAGGGGAGCCTGTATTTTATATATATATATATATATATATATAAAACCTTTATTTAACTAGGCAAGTCAATTAAGAACAATTCTTATTTACAATGAAGGCCTACCAAGAGGCAAAAGGCCTCCTCCGTGGACGGGGGCTGGGATTAAAAAAAATAGGCCAAAGCACACATCATGACGAGAGACAACACAACACTACATAAAGAGAGACCTAAGACAACAACACATGGCAGCAACACAACATGGTAGCAACACAACATGACAAAAACACGATAGCAACACATGGAAGCAGCACAACATGGTAGTAGCACAAATATGATACGAACGTTGTTAGGCACAGATGACAGCATCCTGCTTGCAACAAGTCACTAAAGTAATACTGCAAAAAAATGTACTTTATGTCCTGAATACAAAGTGTTATGTTTGGGGCAAATCCAATACAACACATTACTGAGTACCACTCTCCGTATTTTCAAGCATAGTGGTGGCTGCATCATGTTATAGGTATGCTTGTAGTCATTAAGGACTGGAGAGTTTTTCAGGATAAAAAATACATGGAATGGAGCAAAGTACAGGCAAAATCCTAGAGGAAAACCTGGTTCAGTCTGCTTTCCACCAGACCCCGGAAGAGGAATTCACCTTTCAGCACGAAAATAACGTAAAACACAAGGCCAAATCAACACTGGAGTTGCTTACCAAGAAGACAGTGAATGTTCCTGAGTGGCAGAGTTCCAGTTTTGACTTAAATCTACTTGACAATCTATGGCAAGACCTGATAAGTGTTGTCTAGCAATGATCAACAACCAGTTTGACAGAGCTTGAAGAATTTTGAAAAGAACAATGGCCAAATGTTGCACAATCCAGGTGTGTAAATCTCTTAGGGAATTACCCAGAAAGACTCAGAGCTGTAATCGCTGCCAAAGGTGATTCTACAAAGTATCGACTCAGGGGTGTGAATACTTATGTAAATGAGATATTTCTGTATTTCATTTTCAACCATTTGCAAAAATGTCTAAAAACATGTTTTCACTTTGTTAGATGGGTGAGAAAAAATATATTCAAACCATTTAGAATTCAGGCTGTAACACAACAACGTGGAATAAGTGAAGGGGTATGAATAAGTTCGGAAGGCACTATACAGTATTGCTTGCATTTCACCCAGCATAGGGGAGGAACCAGAAAGATCAGTACTTGAGTTCTTTGTAGTTTGGTTATTGTCAGTAAAAACATTCGCAGAGCAGGCTCAACATGCCCAACTGCTATAAATGCCACACCTTTTCTGTTGTTCACTTAAAAAAATGGGGAAGAACGAGAAAGATCAGCTTGGCCATTTTAATTTATAGGTTTCATGTAATATTTAATAAATATAGTACCTAACATCCGATTTGGACCAACATTTTTTTCTAACAGTGAGTTAGACATGAGGAATCCAAAGAAATGGTAAAAAGCCACCCACGGACCCCCCAACAACGAGGATATAGTATCAGTTCTCTGTCTGACAAGTAGTATGGAGCTGCGGCTCAGAGTATTGTTTCTTCATCCTATGTAATGTATTCTCAGTGAATTTAGTGATGTTTTTTCCCCCCTGTTCAGAGAAATTAGTAATTGAAGTTGTTAGGTTTATGTCCCATCCTATGTCCTGATATTACCAGGTTCTGACCTCTAGATGGTGCTGTTCCTGCTACAGATTAAGCCTACTGTAGACCTATTCCATTTCTTAGACAAAACCCCCCCCCTGCTTTTAGATGGAGATCCTCCATTGCTTTTTAGTCCTGGAGTAAGTAGAACAGCCCTCAGTGTCCACTATGAACAGATGGCAGATGTGGCATTATTGATCTGGTGGTTTGTGAAAAGGCTTGTGTTGTGAGTGG